AAAGGTCACAAACGAAGTCTCTCTAAATCTCTCCCTCTATCTCTCTCTCCCAAATCTCTCTCAAAATTTCTTTTAACTTTTTATAAACACTCGGGCCGAACCCTCTTATAGGACCGAACCCTCTTAGAGCCGAACCCTCTTAGAGTCGAACCCTCTTAGAGTCGAACCTCCCTTTCAATCGAACCCCTATTTAAGACCGAACCCCCCCCCCCCTTCGGTCCAGTTTACCTTCGGTCCGAATAACCACTTTCGGTCCAGGTTGCTCTCGATTTCCAGCTTCTCGGTTCATCTCGCTTCGGTTCTACCACCTTCGCTCCCTAGCCTCGCAACCGAACACTCCTTCGGCTCGGATCAACCTAGTTTCGGTTCTCAGCCCCATAGACCGAGCCTACCTTCGGTTCTAAGATTCATGGACCTAACCCTCGCAGGTTCGCTACTTCCTTCCCCGTTTCCGACCACTTTCGCCTGTTAAACTCGCTTTTGGTGATTTTGACGGGGAATTTTCACCCAAACTCATATTTTAACATATTAAACTCCGTAAATTCATATTTTAATCATATTTGGGGGGGGGATATTTACTATAAATAATATATTTTGTATAATATATTATCTAAAAGTGGTTGACCTTTCTTAAAAACTATGACAACAAGCCATCCCCCATACCCACTCTATGACAACTTTATGTCACTATTCCCCTTTGTACCTGGTCAAATCAAGATCTTGCCCCAACACTCCATCAGATTTCCGTATCCTAAATCCACTCATTAGATCTCCAATCCTCACCTATAAAATCGCAAGCATATCCTCCAAAAATACACTTTTTCTCCCTCCCACTCTTCTCATCTCTGGAACTCGAGATTGTCCAGGAAGCATTTTGCTTCTACTTCACTCTTGGTAAGTTTTTCATTCCCACTCTTGAATATTCTACACTCCTTCCTTCAAATCATGGATTTCTTATACAAATATCGTCATATTTGTTCTTGGGATCTTCAAATCCTCAAGCATCCTCCAAGTGTTCTTGACTTGGAAACCTCTTTTCTTCCACATCCGTCTCAGAAAATCACTCAAGGTGAGTTAATACCCCTACATTTTCATGTTTTCTTCAAGTTTTAGGGGGGGGGGGATACAAGTTAAATCACCTTAACATAACACAAACTCATACATCAGCTTTTCACATAAAAGTTGGGTTCTATTCACGGACTGTTTTGACCATGTTAAACTTAATATTTTTCAAAATATTTAATATGAAAGTAGCTCAGGTTTCTGCCTTTACAATGACTACTTGCACATCTCCATACGATTTTTCTACAATTTATGGAGAATTTTACAAAACGGCCTATCATTTCAGAAACAAATTTGGACCAGTCTGTGAATATGGACATTTTCACACAAGTTAGACGCCACTAAAAATCATAATAAAAATTATGAAAAAAGTAAACTTATTTCCTAAACTCACTGAATCTACAGATTCTGATTTCAACCTAAAATGATTTTTCTATAATTTTTCCAAGAACAGGAACAGAAAAGTTAAAACTAGAAAAATTAGTTAACAAGTTCATGTACACTTTGTAATAAGCTGAGAAAAGTGTTTACTATGTTATATATATATATATATATATATATATATATATATATATATATATATACTTGCTGTTTATATTCCATGTAATTACCTTAGTATAAAGGTATATATATCATATACAAAAAGGAATACCACCACAAGAAAAACTTTGGATAAGCTATAATAGGTATAGTTTATGTTTCATTTACACAACAAACATACTATGGAAGGTTTCATTTCCACGAAAAGTGATTTTCATTTCACTTCACATAAATCTGTTAATGAATAAATTTGTGAGACATTCGTTTCACGTTACTATCAAAGTAGCGCATTTAAAGTCCTGTAATTTTAACCAGAGTCTCTTGTAGGGAGAGAGTGGTAGTTGTGTATAGATCTGTATTGGGTCTGACAAACCCGCACCCAAGCTGCTTGCAACAGCTCGGCCGGCAAGCCAGGGGTGACAAGTGTCATTAACATTCCGACGCCTGAAGAACTTCGCGTACAAGGCCGACTGGGTCATAGCATGGTTATAATAACTCACATGGGGTATTAACAAAACATACGATTTACGGGTTTTCTTTCATTTAAACAAGTTTATGTCGATTTAAACTTGCATAATTTACTTTAGGTATGGAAAATACTTGTACATTTTGGTCTTTGGGTTTTAAGACTACGACTCACTTTTAAAATGAAAATATTGGATTTTTCTGGAACAAACATTACTCTTACAAAGAAAGAATTTCAACACCACATACAAAAGCTTATGAACTCACCAACTTATTTGTTGACACTCTTTCAAAACTACTTGTATTCTCAGGAAATTAGTAAAATAGGTAAACCGCAGCTTTTGAGGATAGGACGCTAAGGCGTCAAGCAATTCATTTTGTCCATCATAATGTAATTGATTTTCGAAACATGTAAACACATATTGAGGTGTAACATTTTTTGATTATATTTATGATGGTTGTATTTGCTTTGGTCACTATTATACTCGTTGTTATGATACTATACATGAAGTCCGCCACCCCCGGACGTTTCCGCCATCCTTGGTTTGGGGGTGTGACACCTTGCCACACGTAATCTGTTCCCCCCACTTGGGGTTCGAACTACCACCCGTTGACCCTCGCAGTCGATCATGGCACCGAAGCGACTAAGCCAGCGCATACCCACAATCACACATATATCCCCCATGGAATTCGGAATCAAGTCTATCGGGAAAGATACCCCGAAGATCTCCAACATGCAGCCCCGGTAGACCGAACAAGCGGAAATCCCATGTTTGTCGGCGATAGAGACTCGCAACAGACACTCTAGCTCTCCTAGTGGCAAACCAAACTCCTTACTGAATGACTGAGAGACAAAAGACCGACTCGCCCTGGAGTCAAATAATACCAACGCAGGTAAAGAGTTCACTAAGAACGTACCTAATCATAGGTACAAACATATAAGTATAAACATATATAATCAATAACATAAAGGATAGAAACATACCGACAACCACATCTGGTGATGTCATGGCCTCCTCGGCTGTAAGCTGGAAGGAGCGTCCCCGAGCCTTCGGAGGTTCTACTTTATCCTGACCCACATCAGTAATCCGTAGTGTAGCTGGCGCCGGAGCCTGCGCCGGTCTGGTAGTGGCCTGTGGACAATTGGTCTTCACGCGACCAACTTGATCGCAGTGATAGCAGATCCTTATATCTTGAACCGGGGCTAGCTGGCGACAATCCCGCGCGAAGTCCCCTCTTTTCCGCATTTACGGCATACACTACCCGATCTACCAACTCCCGAATGACCTTTCCCACACTTCCCACAAGTGCAGCCACGCTGGCCCCCAGACCTAGAATCAACGTTCTTGGGCCGTTTCGGCGCAGGCTGTGACTGCGTCGAGGCCTGACTCTGCTCCCGCAACTGTAACTCGATCTCAAGCTCACGCCGGGTAGCGACCTCCTATAACTCTAGCAGTGTATCACAACGCTGGGTAGCAACAAATTGACGGATGTCAGTCTTGAGCATGCTCAAATAACGTGTCATCTGAGCTTGCTCGGAAGCAAATTTCGGGCAAAACATCGCCCTCTCAGTGAACATACGGGTGATCTCTGTCACCGACTCCGTAAACTGCCTCAAATCCAAGAACTCCTGTGCCAGCCGCTCGCGCTCAACCTATGGAATGTAGAGAGCATGGAACATATCCCTAAATTGATCCCAAGTAACTGTAGCTCTCTGATCATCAGTATACAACCCTGTCATCAACCACCACCAGTCCTTGGCTCCGGACCTTAACAGGTTCAGAGCACACCCGACCTTCTGGTCAGCATGACATGAGCATGTGAAGAAACATCCCTCTATGTCAGATAGCCACCTCATGGCTACAATCAGGAACTGAATCCCATCAAAAGCCTGGGGCTTTGTGTTATCGAAGTCCTGGTACTGAAAAGCCCGGCTGGTCCCACCACCAGCGGCTGCTACGGCTACAGAGCCTATAGCGGCAGCCGTCTCAGCAAGAGTTGCATATCACTCATCAAAGTACTCCAGCATAGCGGTCTTGATAGACCCAAACATCTCCGGTAGCTGGGCCCGGAGCAGAGTAGCAACCTCATAATGCAGGATCTCTCGAATCCTGGCGTCCAGCTCATCCGACCTCATCTGATCAATGACCTCGGGCACTGCTTGTCCCTCCTGACCGCTGTCTCCTGATCCAGACCCAGATGTAGTCACAAATCGTCTAGTAACCACCATGCTGAAAAAATACCAGGAAGATATCAGACATTCCATATAATAATTCGGGAACCAACTCCCAACAAAGCCCTAGGGGTTTTGACTTCCTTGCTACGCATATGGGTCCTGTGCTTTAAGTAGTACGGGCCCATACTACCTTCCACACCAACCCGTATTTGTCTCAAGTATCACCACAATACACTAACAATATACGTAAGCATGGCGTGCACTCAATCCTCACTCCTAAAGGAAGGCTAAATATCTCATAACTGGCTGACTGACCCTCCACAACTGACCCATGAAACTTCCACCAACCCTGCAGCACTTGTGTATGTGTTATGAACTCGATTCTAAGAACCGATTCAATAACACATTAACAATCAAATGATTCCAATATTGATTGAAAACACTCAATAATACCAAATGTTTAAAAGAATGAACATAGTTTAGCTAATTCGAGATAGCCAATCTCCCAAAGGAAATAATTCCAAATTTCACACAAAAGATAGATAGATCACTCCTTGCCGACTGCCCTCTTCTTATACTATCTGACAAAACAACTAATACTATAAAATGCCTAAAATGCCCTCCCACTAATAAGATACTCTTTAACTAGATGATTTCCCATATTACCCTTAACTAACTTATTTGCCTAATATCAGAGGTATAACAATAACCCACCCCAAAAGAACCACCTTGTCCTCAAGGTGGATAAAATAATGCATCACACCCAAATTCTCTCAGGTGGCTTCTTCTTCTTGCCCTTAGCCTTACCATGATCTGCAACAACCATAACAATCACCACATATATTCCATCTATTTGCTCCATTTCCCCCATGATCCTCTTAACAGCTTCCTCATCAGCCTTGCAAGCCACATCAGTAGTCTCAACATTGCCAATATGCACATTCTTTAGCTCTTCATCTTCATCTTGATTCTTTCCTCTTCGTACCTTCACCGCTTGAAAATACCATCCCTCAACTCCAAACTTCTCTAGGAACTGCACGTTCGTCCTTATACTTTGCTTTTCCATGGCTAAGGAGTTAGTACCTTCTTTCCCTGGCCAAATTTTAGTAGTTGCACCCTTAGAAATAGTTCCAACATTGTTAATCATGTCACACAATATAGAAACATTTCCACCAGTTAAGTTCATCATCTCAGCCACATTGCGTCTGCAATCCTTTTTTTTATTAATTGCCAAAGATACATTAGATAACTTTTTGGCAAAAGCACTCGCCCTAGCCACTCCACCAACATCAGGCAACAACATTACCAAATCATTTGAGCAAATTGACTTGCTGGCAAGATAATCAAGAATAGCATGCTGACAGTAAACATGGTTAACTGAAATATCAAAATAACCCATTGACTGCCCAGAATGAAAATCACAAGCAAGAACACGATCCGCACCTTCTTCCATAATGAGATTTGATACTTGTTTTATAGCAATAGATTCATGCCATTGAGTCTTTCTATCTGTTTCAACATATCTAAAATATGGTATAATTTTTGTGATGTTCTTGGCTAATGCTTTTCTACCCACATCAATTGTTACTAGAAGCTCCATGAGAATTTTGTATGCAGCTGATCCAGTATCTATTGTAGCCAATTCTTCAGTACACAACAAGAAATAATCTTGCACTATCTTCTCAACCATTTCAAACGCCAAGTGTACAATGTTTTTATGGTTATCATAAATTGTTGCTATGAAGACCACGATCATGTTATTCAATCCAGACTTGACCTTATTGACATGATACTGAACCATTTGAAAGACACATCTGATGATCAATTCTCTAATTATAACAGTAGCAACATCACAAACAGACCAAGGAAAATGACAATTAGCCATGGATTTCTAATCTTTTGCTCCCAGGGCATTTACTAGTAGTTTTTCCTCATAACCCCATTTCACTGCTCTACTTTCCCTCACAAAGGATGGTTGTACTCTAATTTTAAAGTAGTCAATCTTTTGAGAGAAGTAAAAATCTGGTGCATTTGGTTCTATTGAGATCCGATTACAGAATGTGACCCACTTCCTTATAGACTCAGTGATTATAACAAGAGATTCCAATGAAAGCGTTACATCACCATCACCAGAGACATAACAGGAGACCAAATTCTTAGTATAATCAACAGCTAGGATTGAAAGTACCATGTTGGCTAGTTCTGACGGTTCAACCTGTCCTTCCTTCGTATTCTCCGCTTTGATGATAGCATTCTCGGTCAGATGTCTGATTTCCGGACTATGTTTTGTCGTCGGAGCACCACTGACGAATTTCGTAGGTGCTCTCTTCCTATAGTTCGCCCCATCATTCGCATCATCCACTAAAACCTTACATGGAATTTTTGTATCCAGCTTAACAGAAAAAATAAGGTGTTCATCATCCACTATTACTTGATTGGGAATTGAACAGGACCTCCTTCGCTTGAGGTAGTCGGTACATAGGGGGGCGGTCAAGGTATGTTTTGTGTAGTTGAGAAGTGATGAACCGGTGTCTGATTTTGGTGAAATCGGTGTTAACTGTGAGGTTAGACGAGTTGTGTCTGCGTTAATAACACTCGGGTTAATTTCTTTTGGACCTTTATAACTGAGTCCACTTCATATGATTTTTGTTGGCACATCTCTTTAACTTTGGCCCCAGTCTTTTTTAAGCCCATTTTTGTGAAACCCTAGTAACGTTGCCTCTGTTATGTCTTTTAACGGAGCCGTTACCTCATCGAGGCTTGGTTTGATCTCTGTCACCATTGCTGTGACCTGAGACGACGTCGCTACCTTCCGGTGGTCCCCGATCCTTTCTTCCTTGTTCATAGTCGAGTTCGTCTCCCCACTCTTCTTTGCTTTGCATTCCCGGTACAATGGTAATGTGTACCGATGACGAATTAGACTCTTCATCTCTTCCCAGTCTTTAATGGGTCATTTTCGGTGCTCCCATTCATACCATAATAGGGTGTCGCCTTGAAGAGCCATCACTGCAGCATCGAGCTTGTCTTCTTCTCTCAATCCGTAAAAAGAAAAATACCATTCAGCCTCTAGGATCCAGTCCGACTGATTACCATCCAACAAGGGCATCTCTAGCTCTTCGGAAGGTAGCTTGGGACCTCATGGGATCGGAACTGCATTCTTGCTGCTGTAATGGTCTGAATATTCTATCGATCCAAACTGAGAATTCGCCAAAATATGTTATGCTGCATCGTTAGAAGAGTTGAACCGCCGACGTATTAATCCTTTAAGCTCTTCCCAATCTCGTATGGGCCGCCTCCGATGCTCCCATTCATAGAAAAGTAAAGCGTCTCCTTCTAGAGATCTCACAACACCCTTCATCATTTCTTCATCCTCATTCGTGTAGAATGACCTTTCCACATTAAAAATCCACTCCTCTGCGTTAGTTCCATTAAACAAGAGCATCTCAAGTTTGTGAAACCTCCGGTTGGTCCCTCCTTCCTTAAGAACCGTTTCTCTCTTCTTTATTTCATCTTCCGGTGGTGGCAGCGACGGTAGTCTATAGCTGTTGTCTTTACCTCTTTTCTCTGAAAACATGGAACAAACTCTCTTGTTCTCGGTAGCCATCTCAGTCATCTTTTCCACAAATAGAGAACACTGATTGTTCATTAGTTGCTGCAAATAAGTTAGAGCTGATTTCACTCCTTCCCATCCTGCTTCTGCTGCATCTATTCTTTGATCCACAGGAACCAGGTTCATTGCTCTGATACCAATTTGTTATGAATTGGATTCTAAGAACCGATTCAATAACACATTAACAATCAAATGATTCCAATATTGATTGAAAACACTCAATAATACAAAATGTTTACAAGAATGAAGATAGTTTAGTTGATTCGAGATAGCCAATCTCCCAGAGGAAATAATTCCAAATTTCACACAAAAGATAGATAGATCACTCCCTGCCGACTGCCCTCTTCTGACAAAACAGCTAATACTATAAAATGCCTAAAATGCCCTCCCACTAATAAGATACTCTTTAACTAGATGATTTCCCATATTACCCTTAATTAACTTATTTGCCTAATATCAGAGGTATAACAGTATGCTAGTCAAACATAACGCTGGACCCTATAGACATTCGAATATTTGATCCTACCCTAAGCCCTTCATCAAACCAGAACAGGAAATAAGGCCAAACCAAACATTCCCAGGCTATAAGATCCTAATTATGTACATATGATGCATACACTAAGAAACTAAAGTAATGATGTCAATTTCATATATGACAACCCTAGGCTAACATGCATCATATAATCAAGTAATCCTATCATGCAATTCCTGAAGATCCCTAGCCTAGAACTAGCATGCTTTTCTAACATATCATAATATCAAATATCTGTATGGTATTTTGGGGTCTACTTACTGGCTCCGGCTAATCGTACACTCTGCATCCTCCTTTAGTATTTTGAAAACCATTTTGAAAACTTTTTTCCTTAGTTTGAGAATGGTTTCACACGAGTGTTCCTCCAATTAATTCAAAATAAGGATCTGATACTAACATGTAATATCCATAAAATTCAAGCCAATTTAAAACTTTTCAACCATTCAAAAATCATTAATTATTACAAAGTGTTTTCAAAATAGTTTCGTGTCAGAGTATCCCAGAAATCAAAATCATAAAATATAAGGAGGTGCACGATCACGCCTTTGCATTCCTGCGTTCATCTAAAGTAGCTGAAACAAAATCCAAAACTGTAAGCCCGAAGCTTAGTAAGTTTCCCCAAAATACCAACGCCATACATACCATAACCATATAATAAAAACAAACAACATGCATACTGAGCCTTCAGCCTGTCTGGACCGCCCCGCAGGGCCATCAGTCTATTTGGACCGCTCTCCGAGCCATGGACACGTCTGGACCGCCTCGCGGGCCTTCAGCCTATCCGGATAGCTCGTCGGGCCTCCAGTCTGACTAGTACGCCCTTACCTGATCTGCAGTCTATCCGGTCCCACGCCCTGGGTTTGTTGGCCTTTAGCACAAAGAAAGTTCGCCTCAACCCATCCCCAATCACACAATCAACACATAATATCAAATGTTAGCATACACAAACAGTCAGAACGATCTAACATATCACTAATCATATCATCATCCTATATACCAGGATACCGACCTAACATGTTACTAACATAGCATTATCCTATATACCAGGATACCGACCTAACAGGTCACTAAGCATATCAACATGTAATAAACCCGGATACAAATCCAAAAAGGGCTGACATTGGTGCCTTCGACCCTGTTAGTATAGTGAGGACAACTTACCTCGCAAGTAGTGTTGAACTGGACTGAAAGTCTCCGATCGCTGTCTCACCGAAAATCCTGAACTATCCAAAATAATTAATACTAACTCAACACATAGGATATCAATCTTGACTAAGGGTCCACATAGTCCATTTTTCCTTTTATCTAATTTGGCCCAAGGCCCAATATCAAATTCACTATCCAAAGTCCATATACATAATGCCCATTATTGGCCCACATTTCCCAATTGGGCCCCAACTCCCTAATCGGGCCTCATTTTAAGATCTATTACCACTACCGGCCCAAAGCACATCTATTCAGAAAGCCCAACAAGTCCCATGTCAAACTGGACCAAAAAGAAGCTGAATCCCAAAGCGTAAATCGCCAAAAGCCCAACAAAGGGCGTACGCGGGGCGTACTCCTCTGGTACGTTGGGCGTACTCTAATTTGCGTTGACCACCATCGGGGTGGTTGACTCAGTACGCTGGGCGTACAGGAATTACATGGGGCATAAGAAAGTCTCACTAAAACCCTAATAAATGCTTAATGGCTTAAGCACTTAGGACCAAACTCCAGATCCATCAACCAAATGTGCCTTAGTGTCACACCCCCGACCGAGGCGGCGGAACACGCCGGGCTGTGTGACTAAGTTCATGGATCACAGGCAAATTGAATATACAGCACGAGTACAACAATAAACAAAATAGCATTCATGTTCGATCTTGATATTTGAATACAAGGTTTTACAAATAATAATAATACATGAATTGCCTTAACAGGTAGGCATATGATACAACAACAAATAAACTTGGTCACCTGTAATCCAATCTGTCTTGAATCTCTGTTAAGTGTTTTCCTGAGAACACATGTAGTTTTAAAAGTCAACACAAAGGTTGGTGAGTGTCACAGGTTTTCTGCTAACGCAGTAATACTTTTAATAAGTCTAAAAAGTATTATCTTTGTATGTATAATGATCGTTAAAAACAGTATTTGCAAAGAGTCTTTAAAAGCCAAGAATGTATTTTGATATGAGTAAATTCATGCTTTTAACATGTACTTGTAATAATTCATTGAAAGTCAAAATGAATGCTTTGTATAAGTAACTTCCATACTTAAAACTGCGTTTATAATGAATCTTTGAAAGCCAAAACGTTATGTTCCATAAGTAATTTCCATACATAAAATGTACATGTAATGACTTCTTAAAAGTCAAAATGAATGCTTTGTATAAGTAATTTCCATACTTAAAAAATATACTTGAAGGCAACCAAACCTATGGTTGTAGTAAGAGAGAGAGAAATTCGTGTTAATGTTTTTAGTGAGTTCTATAATCGAGCTATGGACGAAAAGTACCCCTCCCTACGACGCTTCATTGGACGTCGTAGTAACGATCGTAGACACATATCACCTGCTACGATTGATCAGTCGATGGTTGTAGCTAGCAACCGCAGGTGGGGGTTGTCGACCCCATATAGATCTATACATATGTACCTCGCTCCGAAGATTAACGATTATAGAAGTGTGGGGCAGGATAAGTAATTAAACTCAGATAATGAATAGTAGCGTCTCACTCAAAAACCATTAACGAAAAGTTGTGAATAACTCTCAGCCCTAACTTAATTAAATTAAGTGTCAGGCATAATGAATTTCGTAGTATAGTATTCGTAAAAGCCGAGTATGATTGTCGTATTTATAAATGTATAAATTACTCGCTTTTATAGAGAAATGTAGTTCAATATAATGGTCTTTTATAAGTGTGTAAAGCCTCATGGATAAAAGTATTCATGTATAAAAGTCTTTGAAACTTTTAAATATTTAAACTTGTATATGTGTGTAAAGCCTTATGCATAAAAGTATTCATGTATAGAAGTCTTAAAACTTTGGAATACTTTAAAATGGTAGTATGCATATCATATAAGACTAAAAATGAATGTTTCAAATTAATAAACATATGTACATGTATAAACTTTATTCATATAAACATATAAATATATACATGTATAGTAATATTTTGAACCATACAAATACTACACAATTTCATAACGTACTTGTTATAATATAAAAATCATAAAACTTTGTATCATGTAGTATTTGTTGTGTGAAATTGTTATTTCACGATAAAATAACCATAATACGTATATGAAAATTTATACTAGTTTATTCGTAACAATATAGTAAATTGTTAAATAATAATATATTTTTATAAACTAGGTTTTTCGCATAAAAAGGTAATTGGTTTGTATAAACAAAATATATCGACACATGTATTCCCCCCCAAAGTAATTGAAATATTAAAAAGGGGCCGTAAGCACTCACCCTTGAAGTGTGAGTTTGATTCGTACGGTATTCGGATTCCTTTGGGAAACTTGTCGTGAGATTTGTTACGTGACATTCCTCGTTCGTAAGACGAATCACTGAGTATATTTGTATTTCCTAATAAACCAAATAGTAATTTGGTATTAATTACTAAGTATATGGTGGTCTTTCTTTAAATAAATAAACTCTAGGGTTGATTTTGCCAAAATCATACTTCAGGGACTAATCTTGTAATCTGTTTACAAGACAGAGACTGAAAGTGTACATTCTCAGCCTAAATTACAGTTTCGGACCCATCTTGTTAAGATTTCTGAAGGGAGGAGCTGTTCTCTAATATTTTAAAGATAGTTTGACTTAAATGGTGACTTATTTCGTAGGAGGGGCCAAAGTCGCACAAGTTCAAAAGTTGAGGGTTATATTTAATTAAAACGAATGAAAGTTTGATTTGTTTTAACCTTTGACTGGGTCAAAATTGAATGTGCGTTTATCACTTGAAACCTTGGATGCAGATCGTCATTCATGGGTCTTGCATCCGGAGGGAGAAACGAGCGACGGCAGGTGAATACACATCTTCGGTGTTGGCTCGAAACAGGAGGGAGAATTGAACACAAGGCTCGATTGGGAAAGATATCAGTCGACCCTTCATTGATCGACAAAAGAGGAGAAGGGATCGAAGAGAACTCGAAGCTTTCACGATGGGAAAACTCAGAGACCAAACGAAATCAAAGGTAAAATCTATTGGGTTTCGATCCTTGTCTGATCGGGAGAATCACGAACGAAGGTTTTTGAAGAAGCGCTATTTTCGATCGAGGAGGGATGAAGAACGAACAGTAGCATCGATTGGAAGGCTTGATGGTTTTCGATCCTCCATGATAAAGAAAGGGGAAGGGTAATCTCTGTCTGATCGGGAATGGGTGTGATTCGAAGGCAGATGGACGGTGATTTGGAGGGTGTTTGCTGCTGTGGAGTCGTAGGGGAACACAGGGAACTTGAGGAAGGTTCGTTGCCCTCTTGATCGCCGAAAAACCTTTGCCTCCGGTGGAGGTTCTTCGACTGGAACTCAAGAGGAAAGAGGGACGACGAGGTCGCCGGTCTCGGTGGTGGTTCATCTATGAGCCAAGGAAAAGGAAAGTGGAAG